CCTGGCCCACAGCTTCTGCTGCCATTCTGATTACTGGGCGGCCTCTGAAGAGGAGGCTGGTTTTCATCAAAGCTCCCTTAACCAGAGTGTTAACCTTGTACCTTCCGTGCTCGACTGTTGGTCACAGGAAACTCGCCCAGGCTGTCATCATCAACTCGGGGATCTGGGGCGCCTCGCTTCTCCAGGGGGTCGGTGCGCAACAGAGCCTCTAAACTACTGCCATCCTGAGAGATCAGCCCCTCCTTCTTCAGGGTCTGGTCTGTGTCTGCAGGCAAGGTCAGGGTGAGGTGAGGCGCAGAGGGCTGAGAGCAGACCACTTTGGGTCTGCACTGTGCTAGGCCGGCCACAGGCCAGTCAGCGTCTTCTGGTCTCTGGCTGCCCAGGAACCAAGATACCCCAGTTCACCTGGCACCACAACTTATCTGTTGACCTGTCTCTTTCATTAGGCTGAGCTCTTTGAAGAAAGAATCACATCTGATTCATTTTAGTATCTTCAGGATCTAAATCTGGGCCTGGCACATAACAGATTAGCAGGCCTCTGATCATGCAGCGGGCCACGCGCCTGCTCAGGGAGGAGTGTGATTTACCTGGTTTAATAGATGGGAACGAAAGTCTCGGGTCCTCAGGAGGGTGGGCTCGCCGCTTTTTGCGCCAGCGCCGGGCAGGGTAGGAGTACAGCTGCCCAGAGGCCAAACCTGCGGAAAGAAGAGAGAGAAGTCAAGCCCTAACCCAGTCCTAGAAAATAACATTCAAACACTGTCTAGATGAATAGGCCCCATTGGAGTTCTAGAGCAAAAGAGGAATATGGGCAGTGCTGGGGGTGGGGGCGTGGGTGGGATAGTTTATGGAAAAGAAAAATAAAGTCAGGGGACTTGGCTAACACACAGATTTACAGAAGCCCAATAACAGCCTCAGCGGGGCAGTCCTGCAGAAAACCAAAATGCTGGTATGAATCCGTTTGATTCTTCCTCCCTGGGCTTCTAATCAGGTAAAGAATATATCCAACCACGGGTGGAAAGCAGTAGGGCAAACCCTCTCAGCCGGCTCATCCCTCAAACGAGGAAGTTTCTTCCTCTTGTGCTCCTGAGTCAGGACCCTCACCTGGACCCCGGTGTCGCTTTTCCATCCAGATGTAACAGTTGCTCTGAGCTACTCCGGTCTGTGAGTCCAAGAAAGGCAGGCGCACACTGCGCTCGGCACAGAGGCGGGCATTGTAATTGTGGCACTGCTCCATGGCGTCTTTGTAGTACTGCTCCCCAAGGCTGCGGGAAAGACAAAAACTAGGTGTGTGTGTGTGTGCTGGGGGTGGGGCGCAGAGCACAGGGTGCTGAACTATCCCTGTCCTTTGCCATCTGCTTCTCTACTAGGCTCAAGGGACCGGGAAACTGCTGCTTTGGTTCTAGTTGCCTCCATTTCTGCCTCATGGGACACAGAGCCCCTTCACTAAGCCATTATGAGAAAAGGCACTTTACAAATAAATTAGCATCAGGAACACATGACTTCATCATTTGTCTAATCAGACGTAAGTCTAACCCACAAAGAAGAAACGAATGTTCATTCTGTGTCTCTCCTGAGTCCAAACCCTGGCTACTCAAGAGGCTTAATCCTCGTGACTCTGAGAGGCAAAGGTTAGCTCCTTTTTACAACAGAAGAAGCGATCAACAAGGTCTGGGGGACATGTAAAAATATAGTTAGCAAACTACAGTATATCCAAACAATGAAATTCTATTTAGCCATAAAAAAAGGAGGAAGCTCTTCATGTACTGATATTAAACAATAACCAAGATAACTAGGAAAAAAAAGCAGTACGGTGCTGAGAATGCTACCATTTGTGGAACAAAGAGGTGGAAAAGAAACTGTAGCCTCCAGGGAGAAAAAACAGGTGACATGGAGACTTTCTCCTACATGCTTTTATATCTTTTGAATTTTGAACTAGTTACTTAGCCAACTAATTAATTCTATATACTAATTTTATAGTCAATGGAAAATATCTAAAAATACCTGAAATTCCTTGCAGCCTATTCTTTAATGAGTACCATTATGGCCAATACAAAACCTGTTTGCTTGAAGACCCATCCCAGGCCCTTCATTTTCACACCATCAAATTATATAGGAAAGAACTTTGGACTCAGAAGACTCAATTTGAAATCTCAATTAAGGGTAAACCTTTAAGTGCTCTAAGAAGCTGGAAAACTGCACAGTGCCAGGAGTTATCTGGTTCTAAGAAGCATGTATAGACAACCAATCTTGTTCTCAGGGTTTAACGAACACTTTAGCACTGGAGCTTAAACTGTAACAATTTATATTTATATATTTGATCAACCTTAAACGGAGGGCAGAGATGAGTTCTTTCCCACAGTATTCCCAGTATCCATGAAGGTGTCTGGGGCATCTTGATCTGACTTGGGAGTAAAAAGACCTGGCTTGGAAGAAAGTCAACAAATAAACGTGCACAGTTATAGACTGGGGAGGTTGGATTAGATAACCTCTAACATATTCCATGTTGAGGGAGACCCCTTGCATGAGAAGATGGACAGAGTAAGTCTGTATGGCTTACATCCATAACTTGAGCTACACCAGCAAACTCTGCTCTGGAATCCGAGGGGAGCTTCCATTGAGCAGCCACAATAGACCACTTAGGCACAGCTTACCAAGTTCCTAGCAAATGAAAAAGACACACCACAAGCAAGGTGGTGACACCACAGGACAGCCTGGTTTGATTCAATGAGCTGTAAGGCAGGCATGAATCCTGTGCTGGCGAGAGGAGAGAACAGAACAGGCTCACATTTGCTTGCCTTTAGGAGGCAGCCATGTCCTCATAACAGGAAAATTGGATAAACAAGGCTGAGTGCAGCAGCTCCTTTGTTTCTGCTGATGGGAATTGATACTGACACTGGAAGTCAAATGGAAGGAAGGGCCAGACGGGCTGAGAGCTGCAAGGAACAGTTCCGGGGGAGTTGGTATTAAAGTTCTTGGGAGTTAAGTGGAATTTCAGAAGGAGGGGCAAATTGTCTCATGAGTAGGAGAGCTAGGGCTGACACACAAGTTAGGGGGAGAGAGGATCTGAAGAGGAGAGAGCAAGAGAGAGTGAGAGACAACTCTTGAAGAACTTAAGGCTCCTATCACAAGAAATTTCAAGCTAACATTATTCTCTAGATCTTGTTATCGAATCAGAAGGTATCAAAATTAGTCAGCAGCCACAGATATTTAATACTATTATTTTATCTTAGTAAGACACCTT